GCCCAACTCACATTAACTGCAATGACCGACATGCACCTTAAGAAAGTGGATGAGGAAACATGAACTCCCCTCCCATTAAAGAAGTGGGTGACCATAGGATTTAAGTGTATGTGTTCTCACTGATTTGCTACTTTCTTGGTCAGTTTTGCTTAACTGTCAGTTTAGTGTTTTGTTTTGTTACAATGGCGGACTAATTTGGGAGTGGGGAATATAAGTAACTGACCATGGTACTAAACACATTTTTTACTTAACTGTGGCAGCAGGGTATAGTATCACATGGAGGAGAGGCAAGTGCAATAGCAAAGGAGAGAGAGAGAAGACTGAGTGGTAGCAGTGGGAGAGGAAATAGAGGAATTACCGTGACATGCAATGCCAAGGTAAAATCTGTACAAGGGGCAACAGGTTGGATGGCAGAGAAGAGTCTAAGATGTTTCCAAAATCTCAATCTGGCTTCTGATATCATTAATGAACTGAAACTGCTCCCTCCAAAATTCTCAATAATCTCTTAATTGCCAAATTCGGGGCTGATCACACATGACCCAAGCAATGACTGATGAAAATGAATCCAAACATTCTTTGAACATACCTAGAGTGGACAAAAAATTGTAATGATAATAACAATATGTTATGGGAAGCTAGGTGGCGCAGTAGATAGAGTACCAGCTCTGGGATCAGGAGGACCCAAGTTCAAATCTGACCTCAGACACATGACACTTACTAGCTATGTGACCCCGGGCAAGTCACTTAACCCCAACTGCCAAGCAAAAATAAGAAGAAGAACAACAACAACAACAACAATAATAATAATGCTTGCAAAGCACTTTTATACATACTATTTCATTTTGTCCACATAACAACTCTAGGAGGTAGGTGCTATTATTACTCCCATTTAAAAGATCAGGAAACTGAGGCAGACAGAGGTTAAGTGATTTGCCCAAGAAGGTCACATGGCTTAGTAAGTGTCAAAGGCTAAATCTGAACTCAGATTTTCCTGACTCCACGCCCTTCAGAATATATCAAAGTAAATGTAAACTAGGTGTTCTATGGTGTTTGGAGGGATGTCTCAGAAAAAATTCTGACTATACATTTTTCCACTGCATATATTCATATCAGATCTAGACAGCACGTTGTGATTTCTCTTATCTTCCAAATAATAAGGTTGTAAAAAAGTTGTCAGAATTTATACAAATTATGACTTAGTCTGGTTTGCTATTAGCAAGTTTAATCAATTTTACACAAACTGGATTTACAGATTTTTTTTTAATTAAAAACATATTTCATTTATTTGGGGGGATAAAGAAGCAAAAAACAATTCAGATGCTCTAGGTAGTAAAACTAGCAGAGTTCTTGAGATGTAAAACATATCAGCATTTGGTTTTCCAATGGAGTATTACATTCAAAGAGGGCTAAGCCATAGCTAAATGAATGTACATTTGATATTCCAGCCTGAGGCCAGATAGCCATACCTAACCCTATGGGGATTTTGTTTCAACACCTGAGAATATTTAGGAATGCAAGCAGTCACTGACTTAGGGAGGTGTTGTGTTATGAAACATCACATATAAGCTCACTGTGTGAAGCTTGTCCTTATAGGAAGCCATGATCAATATTATAAATGGCAGTCAGTTTCTGAGACTCCAAAAGCTCATGATACATAGTGGAACTGACTGACAGTTTGGGTACTGTACTAATAGCCATCAAACATGACAAATAACCAGAGGCCATGTGAAAGAATGCTCCAAAACACTAAGAATAGAAGAGATACAAATTAAAACCACTTTAAACTCTTATCTCCCACCTCCAAAGGAAGGCAGAGGGGGAGAAAAAGCTGAGGAGGACAGCAGGTTTCTCAGCAGCTCCAACAGCAGCACTAGAAGAGGGAAGAGAGAGTCCTGGGCAGCAGATCCTTGGGAGAAAACTCAAGTGGCCACAGAAGGAAGAGTAACCGAAGGACCACAAGATCACAGACTTAGAGCCAGAAAAGCCCTATGACACCTCCTAGTCTAACCCCTTCATGGTACAGATCCAGGAAGGAGAACCATAAAGGTTAAATAACTTGGCCAAGGTGGTGCATGAAGCGAGCAGCAGAGCTAGGATGGAAACCTAGGTCCTCTGGTTCCAAGGAGCAAAGCTGGGTGGTGCTACAGTGGCTGGAGCACTGGGCCTGGAATCAGGTGGACCCGAGTTCAAATCTGGCCTCAGACAGTTACTACTTATATGACCCTGAGCAATTAACCCTCTCTGCCTCAGTTTCTTCATCTGTAAAATGAGCTGGAGAAGAAAATGGCAAACCACTTTAGAATCTTTGCCAAAAAAAAAAAAAACCAAATGCGGTAACAATGAGTTGCACAAGACTGAAACCCCTTCCATTGCACCAAGGGAATACTCAACTGCCAAATTCATTGAGCCTTCCTAATTAGTCAGAGGCACTATGGGTAAGTTCAATAAGAGCTTAGAAAAATAAACGCCAGAGATACAAGACTTCCTCGCCCTGCCCTGC